ACTGTGAATTGCCGTTGATTTCGGATAGGGGCCGACAGGATCTTGCATCTAAAGTTGGTGAAGAACCAATGTGATTGGCATGACTTAGAGAGATCACTCCCATTTGGATGATGAACCTATATTTATTCTCGGTTCACGGCTTAACTAAGGTAGTTCACCATGCAGTAGATATTCAAAGCTTAACGTGTTAATTTTTACAGCGGGAGAAAGGAATGACGGTAGAGCGCTACATCAGCGAACAGATAAATATTCCATAATTCGCAGGTTATCCAGTACTATGAGAGGTTCGAGTGCAGCAGTTGTGCTGCGTCATTGGCTAAGATGTTAATGGGCATGGAACATTTTCAAGCAGGGCTTGGTCAATGACCGTCATGACCAATTCCATCGGAGGAAAACTCTTGACCCTGAAGACAGATATCAACATTCGTCTCAGCGAAAAGATGTAAAAAGAAAGCGCGTTTCGATAAGTAACATGATTGACACCGCGCAGCAGGAAGGCATGACGAACATGCAAGGGAAAGCAAATGGTTAATATATTTCTATATTCCATAATTTATGTTACTTTTTATTTTTTATTTCATGATATTTATGCACTTTGAAACCCTTTTGGTTTTTTAAGGATGCGCCTGTTGGCGCTCAACTCCTGGTAAATCCGACCTCCTTATATTATTCATTAATGTAACTACATTAAAAATACAGTAAACAACATTAAATCGTTCTTAATGTAAACTCTGGTCATCGGATGATATATTGACAGCGACGTTGAGATCCGTATATCACAGGTTTCCTTCTAGGTAAGTCTTGTAGCGAAATTCCACTGTTGTTAGAGTCGTCGACAGCAAAGACTGTGCATGAAATCCAAAGGCGAACTTTCGGCCAACGCTCCTGGTTAGCTAAACGCGTTTAGTGTTTTAGTGTGAACCTGCGCGCACCTGTGTTAGTCTTCTAAGTGAATTGAAAGATGATAAATGCCCATGAACAGCTTGATACCATCCACTCAGAGCTTCGAACCTTCTCATGAACCTTTCAACTCTTCGTCATCGGCATACATGAGGTTAGGAATGAAACTGATTACAGTAATAACAACGTATTCATATAGTAAAGTCGGCGGCAACAACGCACCTGTACTATGGTGTCCGCGTCGTACGTCACTTCCAATGTTTTCTTGAATACGTTTATAATGCTAATGTTGTCCGTGATATTCAGGACTGTTTTCTGGAAGGCATCGAGAAACGCCAAGGAAAATCGATAGAGAACCTTTGGGCCTTCCAGTAAGAAACAGTCCCAGATTCGCAACATGGTCTATAAACAACATAGATTGTTTAACCGTGTAACGAAAGATGCCTAATACGATATAAAGACAATTATACTTCGT